CTTCTGTTCCTTCTACTTTAATAAAGGTAATGGTATTATACTTATCATCACATAATTCATGAAATTTTTTAGGTGTAAATCCATCTCGGCTTCCTCTTAATAATAATTGAAATTTATACGGTAAATATAATTCTCTTAAATGATCAAATCTGCTATTGTTAATAACTGTTTTATCAATCCATTTCAAAATAGTTGAGGCAATTTCTAAAGTAACAATTTTTGTATCAATAATGCTCTCAATTCTAATATTTCTAGGAAATAAAATGCTGTCATTTGGTTCACTTTTAGGATCCAAATGAGATTTTAATAAATCTTCATAAAGTTGATGATTTAAGAGTCTTTTATAGGGACGAACTTTTTCTAAAAAATCTTTGGATGATAAACTAAAAAATCTAATTAATGATAAACAATGTTGTAAAACATTTTTCATTGCTTTGAAATCATCATTCGACCAAGTATTAGGATCTGGAATAAGTGTATGATTTTGTGCGAGACCCCATTTTAATACATGTTCCCAAACCTCAATTTCTTTCATTTGTAAATCATCTCTTTTAATAAGTTGAACTAAAGATTTTTCAGGAAGAGAGGTGAAATCAAGTGATTTAAATATTTTCTCTGGAGATTTTACCATAAAATCCGTACAAAATTGTTGAAGTTCTAATAAAGAATTTGATTGAAAGCTTGTTCTATGAATAAGTTCAAAATGTTGTTCCATCCATTCGGTTTTATTTTCAATTAAATATTTTTGTAAATAATCAACTAATTCTTGAAGTAGAAGCTCATCCGCAGCTAATAATAGATTGAGAATCTCCGAAGTGTCTTGTCCATTCAATGAAATAATACCACCATAAATATACCTATACAAAAAATTTGAATTTCGAATTTGAAAAATTTGAAATAATTTGAATATTTAAAAATTTGGGATTATGTTATTACATATAAATTTATTGTATACAAAGTTACAAACTCTTACTTTAAAATAATCTGAAAGATTTCAGGCGATATGTTTGATAATTTAATATGAGCCAAAGAATTATCCCTATTTTTTTTATTAGAAGCCAAAGTTCGTCGTAAATATGGAGAACGGTAACACAAAATATTCATATGAGCACGAAAGATTTTTACATTAGGATCCTCTCCAACTTCAATTGTTATATCGTAATATTCATCATCATCTAATAATTCAATATAGTTTTTACTTAATTTTGAAAAAAATTGGGTAGACATTTTGTCTTTTTTTTTTTTAAAAAAAAGCGGTTCAATTTAAATGTTGTACTCCGTACCTCGTTTCACAATGAGATTTAAATTTATTGCGTCATTGATGATCATCTCTTAAGAATCTACATTTTTTATCATACATTACCAAGTACTGTTAGAAAGTCTGAAGAATTTGGTTAACTGATTTGAGCTCTGATGGAAATATCTTATTCTTAACCGTTGATAATCAATAGTATTGTAGAGCTTGTGCCCGTCATAAAGACGTTTGCCACCACAAGCTACAAAATAAACCTTTATTTAATTTGATAAAAATTATAACAGTTCCCGAGTTTCAAAATAAAAATAAGAGTTAATAATAAAATGAAAAATTCAAGAAAGAAAATTAATTCTCAATAACTTCAAAACAAAAATTCTAAATTCTATTTTTATAATCAGATCGCATTAATAAATAAACAATTTCTAAATTCTAAAGTTTAATCACGAGCCTGTAGAGGGTAAACAAATTTATCACAATAAAATATAAATAACCAATAAAAACCCAGAATAGTTTTACGTCATTACGGACGCAGTACATTTAAAACTGTCTGTTTTTTACTCTAAAATATAATACTACGCCCCAAAATTAATAATTTCACAATATAATAATATTTCGACCGATTATTGAGCTCAAATTTAATTATTTAATTTTTTAAAAATTAAAAAATTTAATATCACTATTAATAATAACTAATCATATTACCAAAAAAAATAATAATAAGCATTTACATGAACATAAATTAATCTTGAAGATTGCGAGTCATATTTTTCGATTTCATTTAGTTGGTGAAACCTTAATACAAAATATACAATAAATATATTCAGTATCGATAAAAGTCCTATTTTAAACCTTGCATCTTTTTGCAAGGCAAAGATTATTTTTAAATATTTACAAATACAGTAACAGAAGAAATATACTTTTATTACAAATTTCTTAATCTTTATTTAAATCGATAAATAAAAATTTATACGTGGTAAAAGACCGTTAAAGTTAGGAATCATTAAACTTCCCCTGTGTTAAATCCCGAAATTTAGCCGGCATTATGACGTTATAAGGAATTAACCATTGTGGATTGTACACCGAAAAATCAGTATAGTAAAATAATATGGAGAAATATTATTTCAGAAGCAATCATTTATTTCTTATGAAATTTAATTATTGAAATGATTATAAGGTATTCAAAATAAAAAAATGCAAAGGTTAATTCAAGTCAATACTACTAAGAAAAAATATGGAAACAATAATATTTAAGATTATTTTATGAAAAAATATAATAAATATAAAATAATTTTGTACAATTCTTTTTAAATACGCTCTAAATTGTTGATATGTTGCATTAATTTAATACAATTTAATAATAAAGTATTGCACCCAAGAAATTATAACCATGTACACATTTGCATTTTTTTTTTGCAAAATAATTTGTCATTTTCGAACAAAATCCAATATCAAATTATTTCAATTTTCAATATATAGATACTACACTCATTTCCTTGTGATTTGATGTACTTTATAATCCAGACTCACTACTAGCACTTATTAATGATAATGTCATCGCCAAAATATGGACCATATCTATGGCAATAATACACAGCGTAAAATGTATTTCTTATATTACTAACAATTGCATTTTCAACATTATTATCTTTAAAAGAAAAAATAAAGCTGTCTTTAGTTATTCCCCACGAATTAGAAGAATTCCATATAATCGGAATTTTTTTTTGTTAATGTAAACTGTTAATGTTTGTTAAGGTTACGAAAAGTAAGTCGGTTTATAAATCAACCAATTTAGGAAAATTTGAATAAGGCTTTTCTTGGCTTGTGTCATTTGTGTAATATAGATTTAAATGTGAGCTATACAGTCTATACACGTAAAGCATTGTATTCTTTATTCGTGATATGATTGTTAATATCACAAAGTTTTTTTTTCAAAAAAAAAAAAGTTTTTTTTTTCATACGCCAACGAAAAAAATACAAATACTTATATTCTTTATATATAACATTTTACTAATCAAATTTTATTATTATTGTTATTTTTATTGTAATATTGTATAATAATTTAATTTTAAACAATTTTATTAATTGTCTTACTAAGATGTATCTAATGATAGTAATTCCATATCTCTATGATTGAAAGGCATAAAGAAAATTAGCCAAATATCAACAAGATGAAAAAAAAAAATTAGCCGTCTAATCTTTTTTCCGTTTAGAAACTCTTTCTTCATCTCATTGGTGTTCCAAAATTGGTACTCGTTACAATTAAATGTAATACAAACAAAGATCTTTTATCTCGATTATTCTCAACAAATCAAAAAAATATATATATAATAGCGGGTGCAGTTTTTGTATAAGAATAAATGTCCCTATATATTTCAGGTTTACCATTTTTTTCAATAATATTTTTCTAGAAATTTCTTTCAATTAATACTAAATATTACAATGCGGTTAACATACAGTAAATATGCAAGATTAGCCAAATTTAGGCAACGGAACGTGTTAAATTAACACGTTTCGCTTTTATAGGGATTGATGACCTAACTATGGATGAAAAATTCTTAGATTATACGCAAATCAAAACTTTACTCTGTCTAATTTCACTATGATGGCGACGCATCTGTGTACCCTACCCCTATATATATATATTTCTGAGTCCTGTGCTTATAATGATAAAAAAATAATATTATAATATTTATAAAGTCATTTGTTATATAATATTTCGGTTATATGAACCGTCATTCTGTCGGCAAAACATTTGTCGGCGACAGGGAAATTTTATGAGTAGAAAATCTAATATGCGAACATCTGAAATCATATGGAAATTCTGTTTCGCATTCGATTTAATAACGAAACCCTTTCCTTTAATAATGAAAGAACACGCATGCACCGTTTATTTCTTTACACGTCATGCCCGATATGGCAAAAGTATGAATCTTGATAAGACAAGTGGTAGTAAAGAGCATAATATAAATACACGTTAAGTTACGGCACTTTTTTCAAAAAAAAAAAAAAAATTTTATTCAAAAAAAACAAAGAAATTTCTCTATAAAAAAAGAAGTGAAAACTATTAAAAAGGCAAAATGAAGTTCAATATCTTCCTTCTCTTTTTGGTTATCTTCTCTGTTACCGCTTTAGCTGTACCAGTTGAATTGAATCATTATTGTAAGTATTTCCATTGTGGTTACTAAAATAATTAAATGTTAATTTTTTATTTCATTTTAATTAATAAATAGGTGATTATTGTAAGTATTACTCCTGTTCATTTCCGGTTGGTACAAGCTAAATCGAATCAACCAACCGGACTGGAAATGAACCGGCCTATTATATTACACTCGATGTTATTATTAACTGAAAATATTAAACTTTAATTTTCCATTTACTTAATTTTAATTAAATAATGTATAGACTGTAAGTATTCATCATTGTTGTTATTATTTTATGGTACCTATTTTTGAAAATACTAACTAATAAATTAATAAATAGGCTGTAAGTATCGGCTTTATATATAATAGTTATTACTGTATTATGTTTTTAAAATATTTAAAATTTAAAATATTTTACCTTTAAAATATATATATATATATACACATTAAATACTAGGCTGGGGTAAGTTATTATATTTGATGTTTATTGTTTTAAAACAAATATTAACTTTTTTATCTTTCCTTTTATTTTTAAATAATAGAATGTAAGTGTTAACATTATTATTACACACAATGTTATTGTTCTTACAAAAATATTAATAAATGCCAATTTTTCTTTTATCACTTAAATAACAAATAGTTTGTAAGTATCTTCATTACCATTAGTATTACAAAAATATAAAAATTTTTTATTTTTTCTTATTAAAACACTAATAAATATGGAGTCATACCGAGGGCAAGAGGAGTTCGAGGAACATCTCTTAAAAGAAGTCAAGTCTTTTGTGGGCAAAAATTTTACAAAAGCCAACTCTAGGCATAAAGACGAGTTAGAGGATATTTTCGACAAAATATTTTTCAGGACGCTAAAAACACATAGGCTACTAGTGGAAATAAGTAATATTACTGGCATAAAAGGTGAAACCATAGAAATAATAGCCAGGAGTATACTGAGGTTCGCATATAGAGAACATGATAATGATGTCAAAAGAATTGGAAACCAGAATATTCGCCTTCGTTCATGGCTGCGGCAGGCGCAGCAAAAACCTTCAACACATGATACACATCTAGATAAAGAAATAGAATGCGAGTTAAAAACACCAATCAAAAACGTCTCGAAACAAAGAAAAACGCCAAAAAATAAAAAACGTGAAAAAAAATTAGTTAAGGAAATTGTGCTCCCAACAAAAGTCGATCAGTTATCGATCCAAAAAAATTCTGGGGCTCAAAGTACAACATCACGTGACATATTATTTTACGACATACCATCAAGATATAGTGAGGAAGAGGTGGTCAATGCCATAAAACAGTTAGGCGAGGTACATAGAATTAGGATCAAAAAACATTACAAATACCAATCAGTAAGAGCGGACATATCATTATTGGAAGACTATGAGAACTCCTTCTTGAAAGGAGCGTGGAAGGAGAAAGTTTTAATAGGAAGCAACGAAAAAAATAAAAAAATCATTGACATTCGTTGGTTCAAAGGAGACAGGACAGTTAAAGATATAAAAGAAAAATGCAAATGGAAAGCTTACAAAGTAATTCGGATGAATTACTACCAAGATATAGCGAGAAAAAATTATACTTTTGAGTATGGAAAAATAGCTCGTTTTGGAAATAAAGACAGTTTTCTTGGCATACTTTAAAAATGAAGATCAGTCGAATAGTGCAATCACTCTGGACGGTGGAATCACAGATCAAGCCTGGATTATTCACGGAAAGCGTCAAGATGGTGTGCCAAAGAAGTCTTCAAAAGAGGATCTTCCAAAGGCCCTTATCAGTACGGTTCCGAATAATAAAAAAGAAGAGCAGATGACAACAATCATTATGCCAACAACTATTAAAGATATAACCACGGAAGAGGTAGTTGATACCGTTAATAAATATAGGAAAAACCTGCTAAATGAAAAGCAAGTTAAAATGATATCGCCTCCACTAAAAGATTACACTTCTATGGATAATGTGGTTAGAATCATAGAAGAGTATAGAGAAGAGATAATGGTTGAACATGGAAAGGTGGCATTCAATAATACAATAATGATTGAATCATCAAAAGAAGATAGTGCTGCTGAGAATATAAGAGTCGGAGACACGAAAAATAATAATAAAGCTAAGGGTGCTTTAACTAAAAACGTTGTCAACGACAAAAAAGATAAGTCAGTGTGCACCAAACATGGCGAAAAGATAGTTACCCCAGTGGAATTACATGAATACACCAAAGTCAACGCTGATTGTACTAAAAGACTACCAAAGAAAAGTGAGTATCCATTTACTCTTTCAAATCGTAATCCATTTGATATAGGTAAAGGTAGTGATTTTACATCATCATCGGATGATGAAGAACACATAAAAGAAGTCAAGAAGCGTATAAAGAAAAAACAAGGAACGCGCAGTGACGTGGAATACGAAGAGTCGGAAGACGGTTTCAGAGAAGTTAAAAAAGAAAGAAGACCTTGGGCCGGGAAGCCTGGAAGCAGGATGGGCCGAAAAAAGAAAAAGGGTCAAAACAAAAAGTAGACTAGGTTTGTTAGCCCTATAAAAAAAGAAAATTCGGAATTTGTCCTGAAAAGTATGGAAAATGTCCGGAAATTTTCCATGCATCCGGAAAACATTCAGAAACGGTCACGTTTTGGAACACTTTCTGGACGCACAAATTCCAGACATTTTCTTGACACTTCAGAATTTGTCCAGAATTTGTCCAGAATCGAGCGTCCGGAAAATGTTCCAAAACGTGACCATTTCCGAATGTTTTCTGGACGCACGGAAAATTTCCAGACATTTTCCATACTTTTCAAGACAAATTTTGAATTTTCTTTTTTTATAGGGTAGTGTAGAATAATGAGATATACCCATGTATGTAAATATTTTTAGATAGGTTGGTGTAGGGGTTAAAGGTGTTGATCGGGGACGGTAGTTGCCTTGACATGGAGAGAATGAGTAGTTTTTAGATTGCTCATTTTCAATGGGTATATTGAGGTTATTCTACTGCTTATGTTTGTACTAGTACGCGAAATACTAACATAGGTTTTTTTAATCAATAAATATGCATTTGTCATTGGAAAAAAAAAAAAAAAAAATAACGAATATTACAGAGCGCCGAGTGAGGCAGTAATATGGTCGATTCCTTTTCAATTCTTAATAATTGTTAATAAAGACACACAGTTTCTTGCTGATTCCTAACTATACATTTTATTATTTATTGTTTATTATTTTTTTAGTTATATACACTTTATTTATTTTCGAGTTTATTAGTTTATTGATATACTGATCAATACTTTGTCGATCATTTGTCGATCACACACCATAAACTTATATTTATTTCATATACCCTTATCGAATATTATCCTACAATTATTATCGATTTCTCATTGATATATTATTACATTACGTTAATAATTGATATTTTATTTCTGTTACTACCTGACGAATCGTATAAAATCAGTAGTGACACTAGCATCGTTAGATCACGTGATAATTGCCAAAACGTCCAAATTTTCTTAAATTAAAAATCCCGACTGGAACACATTTGTGACATTATCTCGCCATCTAGGATCGATGGATGCGGAGATGTATTTAAAAACAAGTTTTGGACATTTTGGCAATTACCTCGTGATCTATTGGGGCTAGAAGTGCGTGCTGACCACCATTAGATTTCTCTTGATGAAACGAATCCAATGAGTCTTTATTCATCAAATTTAAGTCACTGGATGACGAGATAATCACAAGTGTCCGGATAATTTTGGCTACCCTCTGTATTAAAGCTAAAACAATATCAGAATTTTTACAATTTGTACAAATACATTTTTAAGATTCAGTGAGATTGAATTGGATTAATTTGGGGTTAACTGTTAATGATTATGATTATTATCTAGTATTGCTTTTATAATGTTATTTTTAATATTATTACTATACTTATTATAATAAATTAATCGAAATAACTTCATTAGAATACACCACTGGTGCTCAACAACATAGTATGTGTTTTCACAAAAATTATGGCCTAAATCAAAGAAGTTTTTCTAATTAAAATTGCTTAACACCCTCAAAAATGGCCAGAAAAAGGTTTAATTAGTACTATTATTATTATTTTTTTTATGTTACAAATATTGCAAAATAAAAAAAAAATTTTGAAAAACTTAGGAAAATATAAACAAAGTATATGCTTGTAGCTAAGGTTGGCTTCTCAACTGTTTTTTAAATAGTTGCAAAATTACAACTATATATAATACTTGTTGTGAATTATGGATTGTGATTAGTAAGGCCTAGTTGCGGTCACATCTCTAGCTGAAACATTAAGTACTATAATGTGAAATATAATTATTACATTAATAGTATCAGTTTAACCACATTATTAATAATATAGATTAAAAAGTTAGGGCAACAAATAAAAAAAAATGCATATATCATATAACTATGGTATTTAACACCATGTTGTGAAATATAATTTTGATTTGAAATTTCAATAATTACAGTTTTAAAGTTGTTGTTTGGATGTATTTTTAAGTAAAAATAGTTTAAAATAATTCATAATATTGTTGGCATGAATATCTTTATTATAGTATTAAGTCCGAAGTGGTGGTTAGGTTCAGTTTCTAAGATGAGGAATATCATCAAGCGTAGAATTATATAGGTCTTCGTTACATTTCAGACTAAAAAGTAAAAGAAGAATGGATTTTCATAAAATGCTGCGCATTTCATGACTTGCATCACGTACACAGTTGTACAGTCGTACAGTACATTAAATAAATTTCAATGTTGTACAGGATGCAGTAACCATTATATAAGGTTTAAATTTTACAAATTTGGGTTAATTCCTTTTTATTTTCTTTTCGTAAATTATAAAAATGAATGATAATAAATTTTTACCAAAATTATCACAAAATTTACTTGAAATATTAAATGATGAAAAATATTATGATATTACTATTGAAGTTGGTAATGACCCTTATGTAAAGATTTTTCGTGCGCACATGGTCATTTTACATTATCGTTCAACTTATTTGCAAAGAATTTTGTCAACTAGTAATATGGAAAATGATGGAACTTTAACACATATTAAATTACCGAACATATCACCTGAAATATTTCAAATAATTTTAAGGTAAATAATTTTATAAAACAGATTATATTCATGATAATTCTTTTTATTCATAATATAATATTTTTTTATATTTTAGGTATATTTATGGTGGAAAACTTTCTTTAGAAGAATATGATACTCTGGATATAATTAAAATCTTGGTTTCTTCTAACGAACTTAATCTTCAAGAATTAACCACGTATTTACAATTTTATTTGATTGAAAATAAAACAGATTGGATGGAAGAAAATTTTAGTTTAATATATCAAACAAGTTTTGAAAATGATTCTTTCTTGGAACTTCGCAAATATTGTATTGATTTAATTTCTAAAGAACCAAATAAGATATTTAATTCCATAAATTTTTCTTCAATTTCAGAAAATCTTTTGTTTACAATTATTCAAAGTGATAACCTTCAAATGAGTGAAATTCAAATTTGGGAAAATGTTCTTAGGTGGGGAATCGCTCAAAATCTGGATCTTCCTTCTGATTTTACAGACTATTCTCAAAATGATTTTAATAATTTAAAGAATACCTTACAACGGTTTATTCCATTTATTAAATTCTACAATTTAACTTCTAAAGAATTTTTAGAAAAAGTATTCCCCTATGAAAAAATATTTCCAGAAGATTTATATAGAGATTTATTAAGAGTTTATTTAAGTCTTTCAGATCCTAATAGCAAACCAAGTAATAATACAAAACTTGGTATAACTAAAGAAAGTAAAAGAACAGTGGACTCAAAAATTATAACTTATCAACATGTTGAATTAATTTCAAAATGGATCGATAGATTAGAAATTACTGACAAGTTAATTTCTTCATATGAATTCAGATTATTGTATCGTGCATCTCGTGGTGGATATTCACATAAAAGATTTCATGAAATTTGTGACAATCAACCTCGCACTGTAACACTTGTTAAAGTAAAGGATAGTAACGAAATTCTCGGAGGATATAATCCACTTGAATGGAAATCGGATGAAGGTTTCAGCACTACTAAAGATAGTTTTATATTTTCCTTTAGCAATGAAGAAATTGAAAATTATATTTTAAGTCGTGTAATTATTGAAAAGAGTGCTATCTACAATAGTCCTAATACGGGACTATCATTTGGTGAAAGTGATCTTAAGTGGAAAATATGGCTTGGACTATGGCTTGGTAATTGTAAAAAATCTACTTATGAAAACCCGATTAGAAAAATCGAGGGAAAATTTGCTGCAGAAGAATTTGAAGTATTTCAGATTGTACTTGATTGATGATTTAATTAAAATTTTTAGTAATCTATTTCAAAATAAAGTATTTATACGTATACAGTAGTTTTTAATTAGTTTTAGGTAGTATTATATGATTACTTTCAACAATTTTACTATACTCATTTTTTACGAAACTATTTGGGAATCTAAAGATTGAGAAAGGCAATAAAAAGTAAAGTTCGTCCAGTCTAGTAAAAAATGATTATTTTTAAAAACAAATTATTAACATACTATCTCGGTAGAACGTATTGAAAATTTAATTTTTTACGCTCAAATTTCTGTAAACTGAAACAATCTTTTCATAACAAAAGATGGGTTTTCAATACAAATTAATACTTCGAAATATATATATCGGGAGAAATTAAAATTTTTTACTAATAGCTCTATGCAGGGTTATTAATAAGGTCATTTAATTATATCTTTTTGACCAAAATAACTAACCTGTTTTTCATTTCCTAATGGCTTCAATATATTTTTTTCGACTGATACACTATTTTACATAATTATACTTTTTAAATTACTAGAACAAAATTTTATTTTCAAAATTTTTTTCATTAAATTGTTATGTTATAAAAAAAATTATTATATTTAATATACATAAATATCATTGATTGGTCAAATAATATTTGAACGTTAAAACTTTCTTAGAAAATTAATGTGATAAACTAATTAATTTTTGAAAGCTTACTTTTATTGGTGGATTTTCATAATAGTTATCAGTACCTTTATGTATAATGATTTTTTTTATAAAGAAATTATATTTAATTCGTTAACTGTTTTTATCGTACATTTATTCCGCTCTCTTATATTTACAAAAAAAAAAAAGAATTTAAACAACATTATAATAAAAATAAAATAAAATAAAATAAAATTAATTACAAAATAAAAAATAAACTAATATAAAATTATTATATTAATTTAATAAAAAGAATATTTTGCTCCTATTTAAATCCTTTTTAGGATTTGTTGCAGATAAAGGATGTGGAGAAGGTTCTTTCGGAAAGGGAATTTTTAATTTAAATTTAAATGTACAACTTCTCAGTAAGTAAATTTCATGAACGCGATCGGCTATCTCTTTATATACATTTTTTTCTTCAAGAGAAGCACTGTTCCATAATATACCGGCGGCCTTGCTTATCACACGCATATTATGATTTCCTTTACGATTCGATTCTTTATATACATTTCTTCTGCATATCATGAATGAATTAAAGGGCTTTTTTTTTGAATCAACAGGATGGACAAATGATTCTGGATTATTGAATAATGGTGGGAAAATATTTCTTCTATTCAATATGTTTATTAATGAAATGGCCAAATTTTCCATCGGAATTTTACCTTCTGACATGTTTATTAAAATTTTAATTAAAATTTTAAAAGGATTTTTTTTTTTTAAAAAAAAAGAGGAAATGTTTTTTTTTATAAAAAAAGGAGGAAATATTCTTTTTTTTTTGCAAAACAAGAAATAAATTTTAAGCGCTTATATATATATTTTTTAAATTAACCGCTTACGCATATTCTAGATGAAAAATTGCATCATAATAAACTTTATACAGTAACCAAAAATGGTTATTCATTCCAAAAACAAAAAAATCTTTTGTTGTCGATCCAATGATGATGATCCTAAAGAAATATAGAAAATATTTTTAAAAGTTACAATCTTAGGTAGTTGTTGCTATTGCATAATGCATTTGTAAAAATGTCCTCATTTGTGAATATTGAATCCTCTCATAAAATTACTTTATAACGTTAGATTAATGAGATACCTTTATACTTTTTCCTAACTGTTGATATACATTCAAATTTCAAAAACAATTGATAAGCTCTGCAGATCCTGCGTAACATGATCCTTAATTGGGACAATCACTTGACATTTCCTTTTAACAACCGATGGAAAAAAGGTTCCATACAATGAAATGCAGTGAAACAATATAACTATTGAGGGCGTATTTAATGTTATTATTTTTTTTTTGTTATTGTTGTTATTGTTTGTTATTGTTAAAAATATGTTATTAAATTAAATGAATAGATGTGTTACTTGATCTCTAAAAAAATTTTACAACGAATTTTAAGAGTAAGGTTTCATAACAAAGTCTTTAGTTAGATTAATATATTTTACTTGATTTTAACAGGTTTCAAATAACGAAAAATAATGATTTATTAAAAAAATATTTCATTTTAATGCATGTTGACGTTTCAGAATTGGTTATTTGTTATCTTTTATTTAAATAAAAAAGAATATTAAAATAAAATAAAAAAAAAAGAGATATTTTATCAAAAGAAAATAAAAGGTCAATATTAACAAATTTAGATAGATTATTACTTTTATTTCCTTAAAAAAATTAAAATAAAAAAAATCCTTTTTTTTTAAAAAAAAATTAGAAAGTTGTGAAGTAGTATCACACAATTTTAAATTTTTTTTTTACTTTATTATAGTTAAAATACTGTAAAAACTTCGAGCAGATCGTTAATGATAACGAAATCGGGCCGAAGTTATGGCGATTATAAAAAATATGATTTAAATAAAATTTATTACAATTATATCTCGTATGAAATTTGTATTTATTTTGTATTTTGAAAGTTATCAATTATACGATTTTTCTAATATACAGTATATATATAACTGCTAATCGTAATATCGTAATATAAATAATATGTGATCCATATAATCTATCAAATTACGGATTTTTGTATATCGAGTTCAAAAAATCAAAAAAATTTTTTTTTTTTTTTTTTTGGGCATCATAAATTCATAATTCCAACCTTCTTTTTAAGACCTTTAAACAAATAGTTAGTAGATAATGGTCACGTGATAAGTATCGATGCTTTTCGCTTAAAAGACTATTTATTAAATGCTAATATGTGCATGTTTAAAAAATATCCAAAATTATTATTATACTTATTAATTTGTAATTATGAAATTAATTTATATTTAAATTTTTTCATAGCTAGAAAATCGATTTTTTTTATGTTATAGATTATTCATAATATATTGAAAGTTGAAACTTTATTTATTATAATCTTTAATCACTAGTTGTTAATCATAATAAAAAAAATAATATACTGTAAAATTAGGAGTTATATTAATATATTAATCATGGGCAATTACAAAAATTAATCATCTTTTTCATTACTATTTTCGTTAATTAATGTATTGTATAAATAAAAATAATAATTATGTTCACCGTTCACGTATAAAATTTTTCAAAATGTTATTTTCTTCATATTGCATCATTTGATTCCTTTCTCTTTTTTTTTTAATTAAATTTATTAATATGGCATTTAAAATTAATTTTTATTTTTACGCTCACATTTTTTTATGAGTAATCATAATTGATTGAAAAGGTTAACTAATCCCTTATACTATAGTTAAGATTAATGCATTAACCTATAACCAGGTTGTCCTATTAAAAATGAGCTTACGATCAGCGTGTTTTCAATACTTTTAAATTTTAGAGATGACGTTCAAAATTTTTGCTGCGTAGAAAATCACCACACTTAATTCTTTATGATATAAAATTCCAAAAATTTTGTGATATGATTCAAAAAAAAATTTGAAAAAAATATAAATAAATTTGTCTTATTGATTAATTTTTCTTTATAAGATACTTCATTTAGATAAGTCTTTTTATTCTTAAAAAAGTGATTTATTTAAACAGATGACCAATTCCGAAACACCAACATGCGTCATAGTTTCCAGAAATACAACTTTTCTTTAAACTATATTAGTTTATTATTAGTTTAAATGTCCATTTGGAACCCTCTGGAATCAAGTAAAATGAATTATTAAAGGGTATGAAAGTTTCTATGATGTCTTTTGTGCTTAGTAATTCTTTGTAAAATTTCATAAAAATCATGAAATACGTTTATTGGCTTGTTTCACATATATTTACGCCATTGAAGTTAATTATTTGATAATTTGATTTAAAAAAATTTACAGTAAATAAACAACATATTTTTATTATAAAGAAACAAAAATAGGCTATTGTTAATCCCATTTTACAGAATTTCATTACCCGTATAAACTAGCGATTTGATTATCCTATTGTTTCTTTGTATTCTTTGTGTAATCCCTTTAAGAGTCTGGAACAAATCTATCGAACCTCTTTACCATACCTTGTTCTAGAACGAAAGAAATCAAATGTCACGGGTTTTGGCCAGAATTATGAAATTATGAAATTGTGTCACGGGTTTGGCCAGAATTATAAAAATTAATAAAATCATGTCATGGGTTTTAGCTCAACCATTGTAATTATTAAGGATTTTATCTCCTCATACATTAACCGTTCGAATTTACGGGAGATAAATTTTCCATAATAAACAAAATCATATAACCACATCCTTTTCCTCTAATGATAATATGATTTATTTTATTATTTTGATTAATGTATATAAATATCAGACAATAAAGATAACAGATAAGAATAGTTAGTATAAATTTATTGAACTAATGTAACAAGAATTTAAGAATAAATGGATTCTAAAGAAAATATATAATTTAGAATTTGTGAAACATGCCAAGAAATGTATCTAATTGATTTTACAAATTATTTTTACGTACTGTATATCTTATTTTGTTCCAGCAGGTTCTAAATGATAGTTATTAATAATTTTTAAATTTTTTTTTGTCTTTTGTTCTATAAAAAGTTAGTAGTAGTATTTTTATAACATGCTAAATTTTGCATGCAATAAAAATTTCTTTTATTATAGTAATTTGCAAAATTAATTTGTTGTGGATTTTAGAAATTAGTGATTCTTGCTGCACAAAGTCTCCTGCAATACATAGTCGTATTGTTGAACATTTTAATCTTGTAATAAGTGATAAAATAAAAATAAACCAATAATAATATAATCATTTTTATCATATATATCTTTGTATAATAAATATGTTAGTTAATAAATATTTTATATTTAGAAAGTTTCAATTTTACTATTTTTAATTAAAAGATTTGTTTAATTTTATTATGAAGAAAAAAGAGGAAATAATAATGAAATTTAATTTTTGATTATTAACCATAAAATATTAATAATATATTATATTATTATAGATTTCAAAAGTAGATATTATATAGCTTATTATAAGTTGTTGATCCTTATTGTATATTTAGATAGTAAAACAAAAGAAATTCAAAAATATAAAACTATTATAAGAAATTATTTATAAAATATTCTAGTATAATAGACTTTTATCAATTTTTTTTACTTAATATTATACAATGTAAATTTAAAATATAAAATAAGTTTAAAATTGTTTCAATTATCAAACAAAACTTTCTTTTTTATTTTAGATTCTTCATATTAATAATTTATTTTGTGTTTTATTAAATTTCTTACCAAAATCAAAAATATCCATTCTCTATCAAAGCTTTGAAAATTAATAATCCCACTTCCGTCATTAAAGATAATTCAACAACAAACTATGGAGAGTTGAATAATATTTTGTGGAACTTTAGAAGTTTTCCAGAGTTCCATCCAACATGATTTATTACAAAAGAATTCCTCATAAATGATAATCAAGAATGGGCCAAAAATATTTATTAACATACCCTATAATACAAACAAATTTGCAATTAATAACCATTAATTAGATAATGTATATTTCTTTGCTGAACAATTGTTAAAAAAGCTTTTGGTGGTATACAGTACATGATCAGTCACATTACAAAAAGAATTCTCAATACTTAAATCTAAAAAAATGTTACACATTATTATAATTAAATTACAACTTTTGGATATTTTATTATTTTTTTGACAATATAGTAAAATTATCACATATACTATGTATATATATTATAAAAATTACATTAATGAATAATAATCTGTTACATTGTATCTGGTAATATAATTAAAAAGATTACTCATGATTATGCTTATTTTGGGATTGTATTTAAATTAATGAGAAATAATAATGAAGGTATAGATGAGAACCTTAAATGCATTTCCAAAATATATAAAGTCAAACAACAGACCCACAATCATTACTTATGATAATATTATTAGTCAATAACATAGGAAAGATTTTAATGGAAAAAGTCATTCAGATGCAGATTTGTTTATGTTGTATCAATTTATAAAACATTAAATCTGAAACATGATACATTTTTAAGAGCATCTATAAATTAAAAATTTTTTATAGTTATATCACAGATAAGGCCCTTTGAGTAGGCAAAAATTTACATAATGCAAAAAGTACACATTTATTATTATGCAAAAATCATGTGTACATTAGAAAAATTATACAAAAAAAGAATTCAAATATATATTATTATTATATAATACATATTATAAACAAGCATAATTTATACATAATAATCAATAATAATTATAAATATACATAATATACTTATA